ATTTTTCTTTTTACATGCATTCTGTAATCCCTTACTCATCCACGGTTTCCCACTGTAATTCCTTTTGTTTTTATACTGCTTATGAGGACAGTTCCTGTCATATACTTCCTTAAATATATTTAAAAATTGCTCATATGCTTTATCTAAGTCTTCCTCTCTGTAAACTGATTCCCAGTTTTGCCCCATAAAATCCTCTTTTAGCCTCCTTACAGCATGTTCATTCGTCACCCTCCTATAGAAAAGATTTGTTTTTGGCCTCTCTTTTCTATACTGGCCCTCATAAACCACAAATACTGGTAGATGATCACTAATATCATTTATAAGTAATCCACTTGTCATTTTGCTGTCAATAACATTGGTAAATATATTATCTATTAGTGTTGCATGCTGGGTTGTTACTCTACTTGGTTTTGTCATTTTTGGGGATAAACTGCATCTATATATTGTGTTAATAAACTCCTCAGTTCCTGTGTGCTTGTTAGGATTTAATAAATCTATATTGAAGTCACCACATATGAACATTAACATTTTTGAACCCATTCTGGTTCAAAAAACAGAATAAGAGCTCAAATGCTCTGCCTCACACATGACTCACATCCTGTTGGCATCAGATAAAGCAGTCAGATCATTGTTCAAGAGCACATTCAAGTGTCTAAAAACAGGGAAACCAATTTCGACACAACACCGACAAGAGGAGTTGTGTGTGTTCACAAACTATCCTCTCATTTTCAGGAGGAGGCTCTCGGGGTTTTATTGTTCTGAAGTAATTACAGACTATTTGGAGTTATGATGGGTGCCAAGCTAATTTAGAGGAACCCAAGATTAAATATTAACTGGCTGGAAATGATCATGCCATGGGCTCTTCCACCGCTGACCCTACAGTTGGAAGACAATCTGTTCTACCTCCTGAGCCACAGTCGGCCCTAAATACAAACACTTTTTGTAATTAATTCAATGAAATTTAATTCAATTGTATTTGTATAGTGCCAAATCACAACAAAAATCATCTCAAGCTGTTTACATATTAAGGTCAAGACTTTACTGAAGAGAAAAACCGATCAATTCCCCTTGAGCAAGCACTTGGGAACAGTGGGGAGGAAAACCTCCCTATGACAGTCAATTAAATTACTAGAGATATTGAGCCTATGTCATTAGCAACATGCATATCTGCTACAAAAACACAATGGAGTGGCGTGGGGGTGACAGTAAAGCAATAAGCACCAGACATCTAGCAGATGACGGGAGCTAGGTCCTCCTTGAGATCTTTCACGCATAATGTCTGTAACGCCCACCCAAGACCATGTATGAACCAGTGAGACGTCAGTTAACCTTCCACTGGAGACCACGCGTGACAAGTCATATGCAGACCACTCACTGGCCTACTTCTGGATGCTTGAGCGTCTGTGGTCTGTGTAGAGTAAAATGCTGCTATCTTCAATGAAAACAACTATGCCTCTTTTTTTTAAACGCATACGCAGGCATCTCGATCACAAGCAGGCTACAGTTCCTGATTCTGACTCGTCTCATAGATAGCTGCTATTTAAGCATTCGTTAAAATGCGGAACTTAAGGGTGTCAACACTGATAAAGACTGAATTCACTTTCACACATCACAAACAAACAGTAAACTAATATCGTTTGTTGGGAGTGGATAACAAGAGAATGAACGACGTAGAGGCGGATCTCATAATGAACACATTTCTCCAGCCAGGGCTTGCACGCTGTTAAACTGCTGGAAAGCCCTGAGGACTGGTGCAAAAAGAGAAATTCCACAAGAGAAGTAGTAATTAATCGTCTTTACCACAGATGGTTTGTTATGCTAACCATCTACTCTTACAGTAAATGGCATTAGTTCCAAGAATAACGACCAGCATAGTCTTCATTACTATAAACACGTGTACACTGGAGCAACATTAACGTTACCCATAGCTGTGCGTTACATCGTTACCATTCGTGGGGGCTGTTTCCTTTATTGGCTCGTAGTAACTTAGAATAGACAAGTTATGAAAACACTAAAGATCAGTTAGATAAAGAACCCCAGGCGCCACGTCTTTCATGGCCACCGATGTAGGTTAATAGCATTTCCAGCGCTAACAATGATCGTAAGATAAACAATTGTGACTAAACAGAAGGGAAGCTAACGTAAAGTAGCGAAGCGTCGTCGCTGCTTACCTTACAGGGTGTCTCTCCTTCTTCTGGTGCGCTGTACCTACAAGCAGAAACAAAATCCACTATTCTCATTCTCTCCCTCGCTGTCCAGGGGAGCCGTCACTCAAACGCTATCGTTGTGCTGGTAGCTTGTCCCAAGCTGTCGACTACCTTCGCTGAAACAGATGCTGGTCAAACCCCGTCCTCCACATGCCGCGAGCTGGCTGCAGCTGGCTGTCACGCACCACCTCAGTGACAAAGCGATGCGCGAGCAGCGGTGGGACGGGAAGCGTTCCTCTCAGACAAAGTTTGAGTATAGGTTCCGTGTTTGATGTGTACAACTGGCCTAAAAGACGGCAAGCCCTCATTATTCACTGTATTTTAACAGACGCTTAACACATACATTTAAACTGGGAGGGAATTTTACGTCGTCTTTATTTTTCATACTGGAATTGCGGTTTTGTTATCTGATATCTTTTCAAATAACGCAATAGGCAAGATTTCAGGTGGCGCCCCGTTGCATCGCAATTCCAGTAAATTCCACTGCTAGTGTATATA